AAAAAATAAAACATCATTTAAAAAAATTACTTGAATCTTGCTCACGAGATAAAACCACATGCCAGGTTGGTCCAGGCCTCGGGTGGTTTCAGAACAGTAGGTAATTCAAAGATAAAGCAGCAGCCTTAGACAAAAAACATCATAACACAAAACTGAAGACTTCAAGAAAATACAAGTCGAAGCCTTGTAAAGTTTGGAACAACTTTGCGGGAGCATGAGCATTTTTCCACGGTCGTGTAAATCAACGGAAGACTTTCCATACAAGAAAGAATACTTGTCAGCCATATACAGCACCAGGTTACCAAGAACTCTGTTGCTCTCCATGCTATTTTACACCTGGTAAACTAGTAAATGGTAACAGTGTATCAATTTTACATACCAAAGGAGAGTACATAGACACAAATTTGAAAGGGAAAAAAGGAAATCATATATATTTATGCGCGGTAGGTGGAAATGCTGCGATTGAGTTGTGGGAAAACCAGTGACTTAGGGATAGTTTATAGAAGACGCCATTTTTTGTCTCAAATACGGCTTGAATCTCTTCCAAAAACGAATCTCCTAGTCCAATCAGATACCAACAGCACCCTAGTTCGCCAGCTCACTTGTTTGCTGAATGAAAGAAAAGGTTACAGTCAAATTCATGAATGTGGAGACTAAATGCTTAAATCTTGAACTCTAAAAGTAGCTGATAATCACCTGGCATATACAGAATACCAGAGCCACTGTGTGCTGTGACCAATGGAAACCCAGTCTCCAGGCAGTTCAGCGGCTGCCTGCTCTCCTCCCAAAGGGGCAAACTGCCCAAGATGCTTGTACCTTGCATTCCAAAATGCCAGAATCTTGGAAGTTAGAAACATGAAGATGGAAAGGAGGCTTGATACAGGTATAATAAAAACTGGTTCATAATGTTCTTATATAGATATTATAACAGTTCAATAAGGAAAAAAGATGAGCACTTCAAAGACAGATAGCATACCGAAATGGAACAAATGCATGACGCCCAGAACCTACAAAACGCCGAGGACCTTCAGGATTATCTTTGCAGTGTTCTCTACGATTGAAACACCTAGAAAGATAAGCACCTTGTTGAGCAGCAACCTGAAGAAAAAAATGTACTGAAATTCTTGTATCATAATTTGAAGAGAGGAAAAAAAAGTAGGACTGACATCAAAACATACAATAGTAGATGCAAGAAAAACACCTGTGCAGTTGCAGGCAGACTTTTGGCCTGTGAATCCACTTGAGAAAGGGCTTGTTTAAAACCTTCAATATCAACTTCTTTTACGTCTTTTCCCTCGGGATCTTTCATCAAATCTTTCACATCTCTCAGACGCTTGTTCTTCAAATAGAGTTCCAGTTGGGGATACCTTACAAGGATATCATCTACCACATCTTGGAATTCTTGAACAGTCAAGGTACCAGAATTGTCTTTGTCTGCAGCTTTAAATATGGATGCAATATCCTCCTATAGCACAATGGCATTGCATCATATTCAAATCTTGTTCAAAATTTCACAAATTTATACAATTATATAAAAACCAAGAATTTGAAGCAAACATGAAATGGATGAGGAAATAAAAAGGTAAATGAATTGATAGTGAAGACAAA